ACATGTAGATGATAATATTAAACATGTAGATGATAATATTAGACATGTAGATGATGATATTAAACATGTAGATGATAATATTAAACATGTAGATGATAATATTAGACATGTAGATGATAATATTAGACATGTAGATGATGATATTAAACATGTAGATGATAATATTAAACATGTAGATGATAATATTAAACATGTACATGATAATATTAGACATGTAGATGATATTAGACATGTAGATGATATTAGACATGTAGATGATATTAGACATGTAGATGATATTAGACATGCAGATGATGATATTAGACACGTAGATGCTGATATTAGACATGTAGATGATGATATTAGACGTGTAGATGATATTAGACATGTAGATGATAATATTAGACATGTAGATGATATTAGACTTGTAGATGATGATATTAGACGTGTAGATGATAATATTAGACATGTAGATGATAATATTAGACGTGTAGATGATAATATTAAACATGTAGATGATAATATTAGACATGTAGATGATATTAGACATGTAGATGATAATATAAGACATGTAGATGATAATATTTAACATGTAGATGATATTAGACATGTAGATGATAATATTAGATATGTAGATAATATTAGACATGTAGATGATAATATTAGACATGTAGATAATATTAGACATGTAGATAATATTAGACATGTAGATAATATTAGACATGTAGATGATAATATTAGACATGTAGATGATATTAGACATGTAGATAATATTAGACATGTAGATAATATTAGACATGTAGATAATATTAGACATGTATATAATATTAGACATGTAGATGATAATATTCGACATGTAGATAATATTAGACATGTAGATAATATTAGACATGTAGATGATAATATTAGACATGTAGATAATATTAGACATGTAGATAATATTAGACATGTAGATAATATTAGACATGTAGATGATAATATTAGACATGTAGATAATATTAGACATGTAGATGATAATATTAGACATGTAGATAATATTAGAAATGTAGATGATAATATTAGACATGTAGATAATATTAGACATGTAGATAATATTAGACATGTAGATGATAATATTAGACATTTAGATGATATTAGACATGTAGATAATATTAGACATGTAGATAATATTAGACATGTAGATAATATTAGACATGTAGATAATATTAGACATGTAGATGATAATATTAGACATGTAGATAATATTAGACATGTAGATAATATTAGACATGTAGATGATAATATTAGACATGTAGATAACATTAGACATGTAGATAATATTAGACATGTAGATGATATTATTAGACATGTAGATGATATTTTTAGACATTTAGATAATATTAGACATGTAGATGATAATATTAGACATGTAGATAATATTAGACATGTAGATAATATTAGACATGTAGATAATATTAGACATGTAGATGATAATATTAGACATGTAGATAATATTAGACATGTAGATAATATTAGACATGTAGATAATATTAGACATGTAGATGATAATATTAGACATGTAGATAATATTAGACATGTAGATAATATTAGACATGTAGATGATAATATTAGACATGTAGATAATATTAGACATGTAGATAATATCAGACATGTAGATAATATTAGACATGTAGATGATAATATTAGACATGTAGATAATATTAGACATGTAGATGATAATATTAGACATGTAGATAATATTAGACATGTAGATAATATTAGACATGTAGATGATAATATTAGACATGTAGATAATATTAGACATGTAGATAATATTAGACATGTAGATAATATTAGACATGTAGATGATGCTATTAAACATGTAGATGATAATATTAGACATGTAGATGATGATATTAAACATGTAGATGATAATATTAGACATGTAGATGATAATATTAGACATGTAGATGATGATATTAGACATGTAGATGATAATATTAGACATGTAGATGATAATATTAGACATGTAGATGATGATATTAGACGTGTAGATGATAATATTAGACATGTAGATGATAATATTAAACATGTAGATGATAATATTAGACATGCAGATGATGATATTAGACGTGTAGATGATAATATTAGACATGTAGATGATAATATTAGACATGTAGATGATAATATTAGACATGTAGATGATATTAAACATGTAGATGGTATTAAACATGTAGATGATGATATTAGACATGTAGATGCTGATATTAGACGTGTAGATGATATTAAACATGTAGATGATGATATTAGAAATGTAGATGCTGATATTAGACGTTTAGATGATATTAAACATGTAGATGATGATATTAGACGTGTAGATGATATTAAACATGTAGATGATGATATTAGACATGTAGATGCTGATATTAGACATGTAGATGATATTAAACATGTAGATGATGATATTAGACGTGTAGATGATATTAAACATGTAGATGATGATATTAGACATGTAGATGCTGATATTAGACATGTAGATGATATTAAACATGTAGATGATGATATTAGACATGTAGATGCTGATATTAGACGTGTAGATGATATTAAACATGTAGATGATGATATTCGACATGTAGATGCTGATATTAGACATGTAGATGATATTAAACATGTAGATGATGATATTAGACGTGTAGATGATATTAAACATGTAGATGATGATATTAGACATGTAGATGCTGATATTAGACATGTAGATGATATTAAACATGTAGATGATGATATTAGACATGTGGATGCTGATATTAGACGTGTAGATGATAATATTAGACATGTAGATGCTGATATTAGACATGTAGATGATGATATTAGACATGTAGATGATGATATTAGACATGTAGATGCTGATATTAGACATGTAGATGATAATATTAGACATGTAGATGATGATATTAAACATGTAGATGCTGATATTAGACATGTAGATGCTGATATTAGACGTGTAGATGATAATATTAGACATGTAGATGCTGATATTAGACATGTAGATGATAATATTAGACATGTAGATGCTGATATTAGACATGTAGATGATGATATTAGACATGTAGATGATGATATTAAACATGTAGATGATAATATTAGACATGTAGATGATAATATTAGACATGTAGATGCTGATATTAGACATGTAGATGATGATATTAGACATGTAGATGATGATATTAAACATGTAGATGATAATATTAGACATGTAGATGATGATATTAGACATGTAGATGATGATATTAAACATGTAGATGATGATATTAAACATGTAGATGATAATATTAGACATGTAGATGATGATATTAGACATGTAGATGATGATATTAAACATGTAGATGATGATATTAGACATGTAGATGATGATATTAAACATGTAGATGCTGATATTAGACGTGTAGATGATACTATTACGTGTGTCGGGACGCTCGAAAAAAGGTTGTCGGAAGCAGAATCCAGCTACTGTCAATGCCAATGTTTGCGCGCTTATCAGTTATAAGGGAGATGAGACAGATGTGGTGATCTTCACAGACGGGTCTGTTATACTAGAACATAAGAGTGCATAGGCATTTACAGCATCGCTCTTCGGGCAGAACAGTTCAAGAAGCCGGCGGTGCCTTTTCCATGACTACCAGCAGCATGACGATGGAAAGCATGGCTGTGACACAAGCTTTCATGTGGCTACAATCACGGGACTATTCCCGCGTGTGTATGCTGAGTGATTCTTTGAGCATGATCAGGTGGGTCGAGGCTGGCTTTTTATTCAGACAGTGGTTTGAGTCATTGCAAAACTCTCCTGTGTGTGCGGTTACCTTCATATTCATCCCATGGATGCAGGCGTTGTTGGTAATGAAAGAGCTGATAGATGGGCAGGTGCCGCATTAATTAAATATGGCCGGCCCATGGATCACACAGACATCGTTATTGCCCTTAGAGAGATAGGACGTTCTGAGGATTTTGAAAGCAGTGTGTTCACATCACTGTAAAAAGTACGAAAATTGGGAGTAAAGATTTGCTCACCCAAGCATTAGAAGCACACCGGACGCACGTGAAGTCTTAACCAACATAGGACTGGCGACGCTAATGAATATGTTGAGAGGGGAATCTGAGCGCCTATGGGTGTGTCCGGAGTGCTGTGAAGATAATCTAACTCATAACTCCGTCATGTAGATAATAATACTAAACATCTGGATAAAGATATTAGTGCTGGTACTTGAAAGGTTGGTGCTGTAAATATTACACTGGCCGAATTTACTTCTCATTACAGTTGCTGCTCCCCGTTTTAGTTGGATGGACAAGGATGTCAAGATCAGTTACCAAAAATATCGTCAGATGATGATTTTCAAATCCTCCGGAGAGGAAGAGAGCAGTTGCCGGTGGAGGAGGGAGGGGAGGGGGTGATGAAAAAAACTGTTCACTTTAAGAGCTTATCACATGATTTTAAAGTGTTCATTTCCTAATTTGTTTTATTTTACTAAAGCTACCTCGGCTATTGTCATTGTTTGTTTGTTTTTGTTATTTGCAGGTACAGTAGTAAGCTTTACTTCCGTCTCTTTAAAAAATATAAACAGCTTTAGCATATGATAACTAAATAACTATTTTTAAAAGTCCTAATAATACAATTTAAACGATTGCTATACTGATAAAATTATATTGCTAGAGTCGTCAATTCAGACTATCTCTATATCTGCGCAGGCAATGTTTGCGAAATTAACCATATTAGACACGTGCGATTTCTATTTTCAATCTTATAAAAAACCTTCGATGAGTTAGAGCGTAATCGGTGGATTGGGGGGGGGGGGGGGGGGGGGAGGGGGGGGGGGGGGGGGGGGGGCACGGCATCAAAGACAATCTCTACATCTGCGTTGACAATGATTGCGATTTCTATTTTCTTTTTTTTTTTTCATTTAGACAAACCAAGCCACAGCAACGTGTGGCCTGGTACAGCTTGTATTGTTATTCAAAAAAATTGGCACAAAGACTGAAGAGCTATATACATGTTTACAGGTCCATGTTGCGCTGGCGTTGTGGGGCTTAAGATGCCCAGGTATTGCTTGTTTGGGGACACCGTGAATACAGCCAGCAGGTTGGAGTCCACGGGAGAAGGTATGCACAGGTTTTTATTCTTACCTGTTGTCCTCCTCACCTGTTACTGTCCCCACCTGTTGTTGTCCTCGCCTGTTGTTGTCCCCACCCGTTCTTGTCCTCGCCTGTAGTTGTCCCCACCCGTTCTTGTCCTCGCCTGTAGTTGTCCCCACCCGTTTTTGTCCTCGCCTGTAGTTGTCCCCACCCGTTCTTGTCCTCGCCTGTAGTTGTCCCCACCCGTTCTTGTCCTCGCCTGTTGTTGTCCCAACCTGTTCTTGTCCTCGCCTGTAGTTGTCCCCACCCGTTCTTGTCCTCGCCTGTTGTTGTCCCCACCCGTTCTTGTCCTCGCCTGTAGTTGTCCCCACCCGTTCTTGTCCTCATATTTTGTTGTCATCAAATGTTGTTGTCCCAAACTGTTCTTGTCCACACCTTAATTGTTGACAATTGTTTGTACTTGCGGTTCTCACGGGATGTACTCCTCACGTGTTGTAGCTAGAGTCTACACGTGTAGTAGTTGTAGTCCTTACGTGTTGTAGTCCTTACGTGTTGTAGTCCTTACGTGTTGTAGTCCTCACGTGTTTTAGTCCTCACGTGTTGTAGTCCTTACGTGTTGTAGTCCTTACGTTTTGTAGTCCTTACGTGTTGTAGTCCTTACGTGTTGTAGTCCTTACGTGTTGTAGTCCTTACGTGTTGTAGTCCTTACGTGTTGTAGTCCTTACGTGTTGTAGTCCTTACGTGTTGTAGTCCTTACGTGTTGTAGTCCTTACGTGTTGTAGATCTTACGAGTTGTAGTCCTTACCTGTTGTAGTCCTCAGGTGTGTTAGTCATCACGTTTTGTACGTGTTGTAGTCTTTACTGTAGTCCTTGTGTATCCTAGTTGTATCCTTACGTAGTCCTTTGTAGTCCTTTCGATTTGTAGTCCTTACGTGTTGTAGACCTTACCTGTTGTAGTCCTTACGTGTTGTAGTCCTTACGTGTTGTAGACCTTACCTGTTGTAGTCATCATGTGTTGTAGTCCTTACGTGTTGTAGTCCTTACGAGTTGAAGTCCTCGCGTGTTGTAGTCCTTAAGAGTTGTAGTCCTCACGAGTTGTAGTCCTTACGTGTTGTAGTCCTTACCTGTTGTAGTCCTTACCTGTTATAGTCCTCATGTGTTGTAGTCCTTACATGTTGTAGTCCTCACGTGTTGTAGTCCTAACATGTTGTAGTCCTTACATGTTGTAGTCCTTACATGTTGTAGTCCTTACCTGTTGTAGTCCTTACCTGTTGTAGTCCTTACATGTTGTAGTCCACACGTGTTGTAGTCCTCACGTGTTGTAGTCCTTACATGTTGTAGTCCTTACGTGTTGTAGTCCTTACGTGTTGTAGTCCTTACGTGTTGTAGTCCTTACCTTTTGTAGTCCTCATGTGTTGTAGTCCCTAGTACGTGTTGTAGTCCTTACCTGTTGTAGTCCTCACAGCCTTTCGTGTTTTGTAGTCACGTGTTAGTCCTTACGTGTTGTAGTCCTTACGTGTTGTAGTCCTGTTGTTGTAGTCCTTACCTGTTGTAGTCCTCACGTGTTGTAGTCCTACGTGTTGTAGTCCTTACGTGTTGTAGTCCTTACGTGTTGTAGTCCTTACGTGTTGTAGTCCTTACGTGTTGTAGTCCTTACGTGTTGTAGTCCTCACGTGTTGTAGTCCTTACGTGTTGTAGTCCTTACGTGTTGTAGTCCTTACCTGTTGTAGTCCTCATGTGTTGTAGTCCTTACGTGTTGTAGTCCTTACGTGTTGTAGTCCTTACGTGTTGTAGTCCTTACTGTTGTAGTCCTTACGTGTTGTAGTCCTTACGTGTTGTAGACCTTACCTTTTGTAGTCCTCATGTGTTGTAGTCCTTACCTGTTGTAGTCCTCACGTGTTGTAAGCCTTTCGTGTTGTAGTCCTTACGTGTTGTAGTCCTTACCTGTTGTAATCCTTACCTGTTGTAGTCCTCACGTGTTGTAGTCCTCACGTGTTGTAGTCCTCACGTGTTGTAGTCCTTACGTGTTGTAGTCCCCATGTGTGGTAGTCATCACGTGTTGTAGTCCTTAAGTGTTGTAGTACTCACGTGTTTTAGTCCTCACCGGTTGTAGTCCTTACGTGTAGCAATGAGATAAGGGCGGTAATTTGATCATTTATTCATACCAGATATTTGAAATCCCAGAAATATGTTATTCAAGGAAAAAATAAGTGTTGCTGTGGATTTGTGTTACTGCTACGGTTGTTGTTGCTAATGTAGTTCGTGTGTTGTCATGTCAACGATTAACTGATGTTCTGCCTCTACAGCACTAAAAATCCACTGCAGTTCTGACTGTAAGAGAATCTTGGACAAGCTGGGCGGCTACACACTGCTGGAGCGTGGATACACGGAGATGAAGGTAAACAATAGACTAGCGAAAACCTGAGGGGGTAGATAACGGTAAATAGATAGTCCTCGTCCTGACAACAGTTGACGATTAACAAATGTAGATAGTAAAGAACATCAGAGAGGATGGTTAGGCGTGAACAATCATAGGGATTTACCTACAGTAAGCAATAAACAACAGTATAGTAAACAACAGTATAGTAAACAACAGCAGGAAGTGAACAAAAGGAGTGGAATGAACAACAGTAGAAAGTAAATAACATAAGAAAGGACGGTCGGGAGTAAACAACAGAAGAGAGTAAACAACACTAACGAGTAAACAACAGTAGAGAGTAAACAACACTCACGGGTAAACAACAGTAGAGAGTAAACAACACTAACGAGTAAACAATAGTAGTGAGTAAACAACACTAACGAGTAAACAACAGTAGAGACTAAAGAACCTAAGAAAGGACGGTCGGGAGTAAACAACAGTAGAGAGTAAACAACACAAACGAGTAAACAACAGTAGTGAGTAAACAACACTAACGAGTAAACAACAGCCGAGAGTAAACAACACTAACGAGTAAACAACAGTAGAGAGTAAACAACACTAACGAGTAAACAACAGTAGAGAGTAAACAACACTAACGAGTAAACAACAGTAGAGAGTAAACAATACTAACGAGTAAACAACAGTAGAGAGTAAACAACACTAACGAGTAAACAACAGTAGAGAGTAAACAACACTAACGAGTAACAACAGTTAGAGAGTAAACAACACAAGAGAGTAAACAACAGTAGAGAGTAAACAACACTAACGAGTAAACAAACAGTAGAGAGTAAACAACACAAACGAGTAAACAACAGTAGAGAGTAAACAACACTAACGAGTAAACAACAGTAGAGAGTAAACAACACAAACGAGTAAACAACAGTAGAGAGTAAACAACACAAAGAGTAAACAACAGTAGAGAGTAAACAACACAAACGAGTAAACAACAGTAGAGAGTAAACAACACTAACGAGTAAACAACAGTAGAGAGTAAACAACAGTAAGAGTAAACAACAGTAAAGAGTAAACAACAGTAGAGAGTAAACAACAGAACAAGAGTAAAGTAGAGTAAACAACAGTAGAGAGTAAACAACACTAACGAGTAAACAACAGTAGAGAGTAAAACAACAGTAAAAGAGTAAACAACAGTAGAGAGAGTACAGTCAACAACAGTAGAGAGTAAACAACAGTAGAGAGTAGTAGAGAGTAAACACAAACGAGTAAACAAACAGTAGAGAGTAAACAAGTAGAGAGTAAACAACAGTAAAGAGTAAAAACAACAGTAGAGAGTAAACAACACAAAGAGAAGAGTAGAGAAAACAACAGTAGAGAGTAAACAACAACAGTAGAGAGTAAAACAACACAAGAGTAACAGTAAACAACAGTAGAGAGTAAACAACACTAACGAGTAAACAACAGTAGAGAGTAAACAAGAGTAGAGTCAACGACAGTAGAGAGTAAACAACAGTAGAGAGTAAACAACAGTAGAGAGTAAACAACAGTAGAAAAGAGTAGGGAGTAACAACAGTAGAGAGTAAACGAGTAGAGAGTAAACAACAGTAGAGAGTAAACAACAAGAGAGAGTAAACAAACAGTAGAGAGTAAACAACAGTAGAGAGTAAACAACAGTAGAGAGTAAAACAAAGTAACGAGTAAACAACAGTAGTAAAGAGTAGAGTAAACAACAGTAGAGAGTAAACAACAAGAGTAGAGTCAACGACAGTAGAGAGTAAACAAGAGTAGAGAGTCAACGACAGTAGAGAGTAAACAACAAGAGTAGAGTCAACGACAGAGAGTAACGAGAGTAAACAAACAGTAGAGAGTAAACAACAAGAGTAGAGTTAAAAACAAGAGTGGAGTAGAGAGTAACAAAGTCACAACAGTAGAGAGTAAACAACAGTAGAGAGTAAACAACACTAGTAGAGTCAACGACAGTAGAGAGTAAACGACAGTAGAGAGTAAACAAGAGTAGAGTCAACAACAGTAACGAGTAAACAAGAGTAGAGTAGACGAGTAAAGAGTAAACAGTAGTGGAGTCAACAACAGTAGAGAAACAAAAACAAGAGTGGAGTCAACGACAGTAGAGAGTAAAAACAAGAGTGAGAGTAAACAACAGTTAGAGAGTAAACAAACAAGAGTGGAGTCAACGACAGTAGAGAGTAAACAAGAGTAGAGTAGAGTAAACAACAGTGGAGAGAGTAGAAGTAAACAACAGTAGAGGAGTCAACAAAGAGAGTAAACGACAGTGGGAGAGAGAGAAAACAACAAGAGTAGAGTAACAAGTGGACAGTAGAGAGTAAACAACAGTAGAGAGTAAACAACAGTAGAGAGTAAACACAGTAGAGAGAACAAGAGACAGTAGAGAGTAAACAACAGTGTAGAGAGTAAACAACAGTAGAGAGTAAACAACAGTAGAGAGTAAACAAGAGTGAGAGTCAACGACAGTAGAGAGTAAACAAGAGTAAGTCAACGTGAAAGTAGAGAGTAAACAAGAGTGGAGTCAACGACAGTAGAGAGTAAACAAGAGTAGAGTCAGTAAACAAGAGTAGAGAGAGAGTAAACAAGAACAACAAAGAGTAGAGAGTCAACGACAGTAGAGAGTAAACAACAAGTAGAGTCAACGACAGTAGAGAGTAAACAACAAGAGTAGAGAGTAAAAACAAGAGTAGAGTCAACGACAGTAGAGAGAGTAAACAACAACAGTAGAGAGTAAACAAGAGTAGGAGTCAAGAGTAAACAACAGTAGAGAGTAAACAAAAGAGTAGAGTCAACGACAGTAGAGAGTAAACAACAGTAGAGTCAACGACAGTAGAGAGTAAAAACAAGAGTGGAGTCAACGACAGTAGAGAGTAAACAACAAGAGTAGAGAGTCAACGACAGTAGAGAGTAAACAACAGTAGAGAGTAAAACAACACAGTAGAGAGTCAACGACAGTAGAGAGTAAACAACAAGAGTAGAGAGTAGACAACAAGAGTAAACAACAAGAGTGGAGTCAACAGTAGAGAGTAAAACAGTAGAGAGTAAACAAGAGTAGAGTCAACGACAGTAGAGAGTAAACAAGAGTAGAGTCAAGAGTAGAGAGTAAACAACAAGAGTAAAGAGAGTAAACAACAAGAGTAAAAAGAGTCAACGACAGTAGAGAGTAAACAGAGAGTAGAGTCAACGACAGTAGAGAGAGTAGAGAGTAAACAACAAGAGAGAGTCAACGACAGTAGAGAGTAAACAAGACAAGAGTAGAGTCAACGACAGTAGAGAGTAAAACAAGAGTGGAGTCAACGACAGTAGAGAGTAAAAAGTCAACGAGAGTAGAGAGTCAGTACAACAAGAGTAGAGTCAACGACAGTAGAGAGTAAACAAGAGTGGAGTCAACGACAGTGGAGAGAGTAGAGAGTAAACAAGAGTAGAGAGTCAACGACAGTAGAGAGTAAAAACAAGAGAGTAGAGAGTAACGTAAACAAGAGTGGAGTCAACGACAGTAGAGAGTAAACAACAAGAGTGTAGAGTCAACGACAGTAGAGAGTAAACAAGAGTCAACGAGTCAACAAGACAGTAGAGAGTAAACAACAAGAGTAGAGTCAACGACAGTAGAGAGTAAACAAGAGTGGAGTCAACGACAGTAGAGAGTAAACAACAAGAGTAGAGAGTAAACAACAAGAGTAGAGTCAACGACAGTAGAGAGTAAACAAGAGTAGAGTCAACAAGAGTAGAGAGTAAAAAACAAGAGTGGAGTCAACGACAGTAGAGAGTAAACAACAGTAGAGAGTAAAAACAAGAGTAGAGTCAACGACAGTAGAGAGTAAACAAGAGTGGAGTCAACGATAGTAGAGAGTAAACAAGAGTAGAGTCAACGACAGTAGAGAGTAAACAACAGTAGAGAGTAAACAACAAGAGTAGAGTCAACGACAGTAGAGAGTAAACAAGAGTGAAGTCAACGACAGTAGAGAGTAAACAACAGTAGAGAGTAAACAACAAGAGTAGAGTCAACGACAGTAGAGAGTAAACAAGAGTGGAGTCAACGACAGTAGAGAGTAAACAAGAGTGGAGTCAACGACAGTAGAGAGTAAACAAGAGTGGAGTCAACGACAGTAGAGAGTAAACAACAAGAGTAGAGAGTAAACAAGAGTAGAGTCAACGACAGTAGAGAGTAAACAACAAGAGTAGAGAGTAAACAACAGTAGAGAGTAAACAACAAGAGTGGAGTCAACGACAAGAGTGGAGTCAACGACAGTAGAGAGTAAACAAGAGTAGAGTCAACGACAGTAGAGAGTAAACAAGAGTGGAGTCAACGACAGTAGAGAGTAAACAAGAGTGGAGTCAACGACAGTAGAGAGTAAACAAGAGTGGAGTCAACGACAGTAGAGAGTAAACAACAAGAGTAGAGAGTAAACAACACGAGTAGAGTCAACGACAGTAGAGAGTAAACAAGAGTGCAGTCAACAACAGTAGAGAGTAAGCAACAAGAGTGGAGTCAACGACAATAGAGAGTAAACAACAGTAGAGAGTAAACAACAAGAGTTGAGTCAACGACAGTAGAGAGTAAACAAGAGTGGAGTCAACGACAGTAGAGAGTAAACAACAGTAGAGAGTAAACAACAAGAGTAGAGTCAACGAGAGTAGAGAGTAAACAAGAGCGAGAGTCAACGACAGTAGAGAGTAGAGAGTAAACAACAAGTGTAGAGTCAACAACAGTAGAGAGTAAACAAAAGAGTGGAGTCAACGACAGTAGAGAGTAAACAACAAGAGTAGAGTCAACGACAGTAGAGAGTAAACAAGAGTGGAGTCAACGACAGTAGAGAGTAAACAAGAGTGGAGTCAACGACAGTAGAGAGTAAACAAGAGTGGAGTCAACGACAGTAGAGAGTAAACAACAAGTAGAGTCAACGACAGTAGAGAGTAAACAAGAGTGGAGTCAACGACAGTAGAGAGTAAACAAAGAGAGAGTCAACGACAGTAGAGAGTAAACAAGAAGTCAACGACAGTAGAGAGTAAACAACAAGAGTAGAAAGTAAATAACAAGAGTGGAGTCAACGACAGTAGAGAGTAAACAACAGTAGAGAGTAAACAACAAGAGTAGAGTCAACGACAGTAGAGAGTAAACAAGAGTAGAGAGTAAACAACAAGAGTGGAGTAAACGACAGTAGAGAGTAAACAACAGTAAGAGTAGAGAGTAACAACAACAGTACAGTAAACAAGAGTAGAGAGTAAACAAGAGTGGAGTCAACGACAGTAGAGAGTAAACAACAAGAGTAGTCAGGACAACGACAGTAGAGAGTAAACAACAGTAGAGAGTAAACAACAGTAGAGTAGAGACAGTAGAGAGTAAACAAGAGTGGAGTCAACGACAGTAGAGAGTAAACAACAAGAGTAGAGAGTAAACAACAAGAGTAGAGTCAACGACAGTAGAGAGTAAACAAGAGTGGAGTCAACGACAGTAGAGAGTAAACAACAAGACAGTAGAGAGTAAACAACAGTAGAGAGTAGTAGAGTCAAGACAGTAGAGAGTCAACGACAGTAGAGAGTAAACAACAGTAGAGAGTAAACGACAGTAGAGAGTCAAACAAGAGAGTAAACAACAGTAGAGTAAACAAGAGTGGAGTCAACGACAGTAGAGAGTAAAAACAACAAGAGTAGAGTCAACGACAGTAGAGAGTAAACAACAGTGGAGTCAACGACAGTAGAGAGTAAACAACACTAGTAGAGAGTAAAAACAAGAGTGGAGTCAACGACAGTAGAGAGTAGAGAAACAACGACAGTAGAGAGTAAAACGACAGTAGAGAGTAAACAAGAGTAACAACGAGTAGAGAGTCAACAACAGTAGAGAGTAAACAAGAAGAGTCAACGACAGTAGAGAGTCAACGACAGTAGAGAGTAAACAAGAAGAGTCAGAGACAGTAGAGAGTAAACGACAGTAGAGAGTAAAAACAAGAGTGGAGTCAACGACAGTAGAGAGTAAAACAACAAGAGTAAACAGTAGAGAGTCAACGACAGTAGAGAGTAAACAAGAGTAGAGTCAACGACAGTAGTAGAGTAAACGAAGTAGAGAGAGAGTAGACAACAAGAGTAAAGTCAACGAGAGTAGAGAGTAAACAAGAGTGGAGTCAACGACAGTAGAGAGTAAACAAGAGTAGAGTCACGACAGTAGAGAGTAAAAAGTCAACGAGAGTAGAGAGTCAACGACAGTAGAGAGTAAACAAGAAACAAGAGTCAACGACAGTAGAGAGTAAAAACAAGAGTAGAGAGTAAACAACAAGAGTAAACAAGAGTGGAGTCAACGACAGTAGAGAGTAAAAACAAGAGTAGAGAGTCAACGACAGTAGAGAGTAAACAACAAGAGTAGAGAGAGTAGAGTCAACGACAGTAGAGAGTAAACAACAGAGTCAAGAGTAGAGAGTAAACAACAGTAGAGAGTAAACAAGAGTGGAGTCAACGACAGTAGAGAGTAAACAAGAGTGGAGTCAACGACAGTAGAGAGTAAACACAAGTAGAGAGTCAACGACAGTAGAGAGTAAACGACAGTAGAGAGTAAAACAAGAGTAGAGTCAACGACAGTAGAGAGTAAACAACAAGAAGAGAGAGTCAACAGTAGAGAGAGTGGAGTCAACGACAGTAGAGAGTAAAAACAAGAGTAGAGTCAACGACAGTAGAGAGTAAACAACAAGAGTAGAGTCAACGACAGTAGAGAGTAAACAACAAGAGTAGAGTCAACGACAGTGGAGAGTAAACAAGAGTGGAGTCAACGACAGTAGAGAGTAAACAAGAGTGGAGTCAACGACAGACAGTAGAGAGTAAGAGAGCAGAGTCAACGACAGTAGAGAGTAAACAACAAGAGTAGAGTCAACGACAGTAGAGAGTAAACAAGAGTGGAGTCAACGACAGTAGAGAGTAAACAACAGTAGAGAGTAAACAACAAGAGTAGAGTCAACGACAGTAGAGAGTAAACAAGAGTGGAGTCAACGACAGTAGAGAGTAAACAACAAGAGTGGAGTCAACGACAGTAGAGAGTAAACAACAGTAGAGAGTAAACAACAAGAGTAGAGTCAACGACAGTAGAGAGTAAACAAGAGTGGAGTCAACGACAGTAGAGAGTAAACAAGAGTAGAGTCAATGACAGTAGAGAGTAAACAACAAGAGTAGAGTCAACGACAGTAGAGAGTAAACAACAAGAGTAGAGAGTAAACAACAAGAGTAGAGTCAACGACAGTAGAGAGTAAACAAGAGTAGAGTCAACGACAGTAGAGAGTAAACAAGAGTGGAGTCAACGACAGTAGAGAGTAAACAACAAGAGTGGAGTCAACGACAGTAGAGAGTAGTCAACGACAGTAGAGAGTAAACAAGAGTGCAGTCGATGACAGTAGAGAGTAAACAACAAGAGTAGAGTCAACGACAGCAGAGAGTAAACAACCAGAGTAGAGAGTAAACAAGAGTAGAGTCAACGACACTAGAGAGTAAACAACAAGAGTAGAGAGTAAACAACAGTAGAGAGAGTACAAGAACAAGAGTAGAGAGTCAACGACAGTAGAGAGTAAACAACAAGAGTAGAGTCAACGACAGTAGAGAGTAAACAACAGTAGAGAGTAAACAAGAGTAAACAACGTAGAGAGTAAACAAACGACAGTAGAGAGTAAAAAACAAGAGTGGAGTCAACGACAGTAGAGAGTAAACAAGAGTGGAGTCAACGACAGTAGAGAGTCAACGACAGTAGAGAGTCAACGACAGTAGAGAGAGAGAGAGTCAACGACAGTAGAGAGTAAACAACAAGAGTGGAGTCAACGACAGTAGAGAGTAAACAAGAGTGGAGTCAACGACAGTAGAGAGTAAACAACAAGAGTAGAGTCAACGACAGTAGAGAGTAAACAAGAGTGGAGTCAACGACAGTAGAGAGTAAACAAGAGTGGAGTCAACGACAGTAGAGAGTAAACAACAAGAGTAGAGAGTAAACAACAAGAGTAGAGTCAACGACAGTAGAGAGTAAACAACAAGAGTAGAGTCAACGACAGTAGAGAGTAAACAAGAGTGGAGTCAACGACAGTAGAGAGTAAACAAGAGTGGAGTCAACGACAGTAGAGAGTAAACAAGAGTGGAGTCAACGACAGTAGAGAGTAAACAAGAGTGGAGTCAACGACAGTAGAGAGTAAACAACAAGAGTAGAGAGTAAACAACAAGAGTCAACGACAGTAGAGAGTAAAAACAGAGTGGAGTCAACGAACGTAGAGAGTAAAGAAGTGTGGAGTCAACGACAGTAGAGAGTAAACAAGAGTAGAGTCAACGACAGTAGAGAGTAAACAAGAGTAGAGTCAACGACAGTAGAGAGTAAACAACAGTAGAGAGTAAACAAGAGTGGAGTCAACGACAGTAGAGAGTAAACAAGAGTGGAGTCAACGACAGTAGAGAGTAAACAAGAGTGGAGTCAACGACAGTAGAGAGTAAACAACAAGAGTAGAGTCAACGACAGTAGAGAGTAAACAAGAGTGGAGTCAACGACAGTAGAGAGTAAACAACAAGAGTAGAGAGTCAACGACAGAGTCAACGACAGTAGAGAGTAAACACAGAGAGTGGAGTCAACGACAGTAGAGAGTAAACAACAAGAGTGGAGTCAACGAACGACAGTGGAGAGAGTAGAGAGTAAACAAGAGTGGAGTCAACGACAGTAGAGAGTAAACAAGAGTGAGAGTCAACGACAGTAGAGAGTAAACAACAGAGAGAGAGTCAACGACAGTAGAGAGTAAACAAGAGTGAAGTCAACGACAGTAGAGAGTAAACAACAGTAGAGAGTAAACAACAATAGTAGAGTCAACGACAGTAGAGAGTAAACAAGAGTGGAGTCGATGACAGTAGAGAGTAAAAAAGAGTGGAGTCAACGACAGTAGAGAGTAAACAAGAGTGGAGTCAACGACAGTAGAGAGTAATAACAAGAGTAGAGTCAACGACAGTAGAGAGTAAACAACAAGAGAGAGTCAACGACAGTACGACAGTAGAGAGTAAACAAGAGTGGAGTCAACGACAGTAGAGAGTAGTGGAACACGAGAGTAGAGAGTAAACAACAAGAGTAGAGTCAACGACAGTAGAGAGTAAAAACAAGAGTAGAGAGTCAACGACAGTAGAGAGTAAACAACAGTAGAGAGTAAAACAACACGAGTAGAGTCAACGAGAGTAGAGAGTAGAACACAAGAGTAGAGTCAACGACAGTAGAGAGTAAAAACAAGAGTGGAGTCAAAGACAGTAGAGAGTAAACAAACAGTAGAGACAGTAGAGAGTAAACAACAAGAGTGGAGTCAACGACAGTAGAGAGTAAACAACAGTAGAGAGTAAACAACAAGAGTTGAGTCAACGACAGTAGAGAGTAAACAAGAGTGGAGTCAACGACAGTAGAGAGTAAACAACAGTAGAGAGTAAACAACAAGAGTAGAGTCAACGACAGTAGAGAGTAAACAAGAGTGGAGTCAATGACAGTAGAGAGTAAACAACAAGAGTGGAGTCAACGACAGTAGAGAGTAAATAACAAGAGTGGAGTCAACGACAGTAGAGAGTAAACAACAAGAGTGGAGTCAACGACAGTAGAGAGTAAACAACAAGAGTGGAGTCAATGACAGTAGAGAGTAAACAACAAGAGTGGAGTCAACGACAGTACAAAGTGAAGAACATCAGAGAGGACGGTAGAAAGTAAACAACAGTGGGGAGAACAACAATTAAGAGTAAAACTACAGTGGTACTACTGACTATCTTGTGAGGACATAGCAACAACTACATGTTAACATTTACAATATTATGTGATGACATAGCAACAATAACATTTTAACAAGCACAATATTGTGGGATGACATAGCCACAATTACATGTTAACATGCAGAATATTGTGGTATGACACAGCAGTTGCTACATGATAACATACAAAATATTGTGTGATGACATAGCAACAGTTACATGATAACATACACAATATTTTGTGATGGCATAGCAACAGTTACATGATAACATACACAACATTGTGTGATGACACAGCAACAGTTACATGATAACATACACAACATTGTGTGATGACGTAGTAACTGTTACATGATAACATACACAACATTGTGTGATGACATAGTAACAGTTACATGATAACATACACAACATTGTGTGATGACATAGCAACAGTTACATGATAACATACACAACATTGTGTGATGACACAGCAACAGTTACATGATAACATACACAACCTTGTGTGATGACACAGCAACAGTTACATGATAACATACACAACATTGTGTGATGACACAGCAACAGTTACATGATAACATACACAACATTGTGTGATGACATAGTAACAGTTACAAGCTAACATACACAACATTGTGTGATTACACAGCAACAGTTACATGATAACATACACAACATTGTGTGATGACATAGTAACAGTTACATGATAACATACACAACATTGTGTGATGACATAGCAACAGTTACATGATAACATACACAACATTGTGTGATGACATAGTAACAGTTACATGATAACATACACAACATTGTGTGATGACACAGCAACAGTTACATGATAACATACACAACATTGTGTGGTGACATAGCAAGAGTTACATGATAACATACACAACATTGTGTGATGACATAGTAACAGTTACATGATAACATACAAAATATTGTGTGATGACATAGCAACAGTTACATGATAACATACACAATATTTTGTGATGACATAGCAACAGTTACATGATAACATACACAACATTGTGTGATGACATAGTAACAGTTACATGATAACATACACAATATTCTGTGATGACATAGTAACAGTTACATGATAACATACACAACATTGTGTGATGACATAGTAACAGTTAAATGATAACATACACAATATTCTGTGATGACATAGTAACAGTTACAGTATGAGATACTGACTATCGTGTGATGACATAGCAAAAGTTACAGTATGAGATACTGACTATCGTTTGATGACATAGCAAAAGTTACATGATCTTTAACACATAAGCATATGATTGACGTCATCGAACCCGATATAATTGAAGCATCACAGATTTATTTTCCACAGAATAAAAATTTTTCTATCATCGAATCATCATTAGATAATAATTTGAAATAATCAGTTGAAATAATTTGTAGGACACCTAGATATATAAATATTTGAGATGAGATATTGTATAGATGTAAAAGCCGTGTGTTTTGTATCACATTCGACCAGGGCAAGGGCAGACTACTCACATATTTTCTGGTATCCGAAGACAGGCGACAACGCCACAACCGCCTCGACAGCTACAAGCAGATGGGCAGCGCTGGCAGATGTGTCTCAACGTCCAACCTCGACTACTCAGGCAAAATCTTTAGCATCAGCAACAGAGGTGTACCCAGTGTGGGTTTCCACATCAGCGCAGACATATATGGGACCAAGGAATCCTCCAATGCCACAGACAATAGATTTTCTACTCCACCTACAACCACTGATCACAGTTGGCCAGAACCTCCAGAGAAAACACAAACTAGTTCAGCATCGTCTCATGAATTCAGTTCATCGACTCTACCTAGAGTATCCCACACAAGACTCCAAAGTCCACAGATGTCTCCCATTGCTGAAGATCCTAGTTGTCTAGGAGACAAAACGCTGGAGAAAACGACATCTTACCCCGAGTCAAGTCTCCATGAGAACTTTGCGTGCGAGCATGGAACCTTGATGGGAGAGGGACTAGCCCGGACTTCTACTGACCACATAATGTGTCGAGTAAACAGACGCA